TTGTTTCTACTCTGACCTGGGGAGGTAGCATCTGTTAGTCTCCCACTTATGGGCAAATAGTGAACACCACCAAAAAAATGGTACACTAGGAAAAGTATAAAAATATATTTTTATCGTAAAAATACCAGTAATACTTTTTATAAAAAAACTTACCAGCAATACATTTTTGCAGTGAAATTGCTAGCAAATACATGAAGTCAAATGAGGGGAAATGTATATTTTAAGAAATGGCCAATATATTTTTATAGTAAAATGATCAACAATACATTTTTATAGTAAAATGACCAACAATACATTTTTATAGTAAAATGATCGACAATACATTATATAGTAAAATGATCGACAATACATATTTATAGTAAAATGATCAACAATTCATTTTTATAGCAAAATGATCAACAATATATTTTTATAGTAAAATGATCAAAAATACATTTTTATAGAAAAAATTATCAATACATTTTTATAGTAAAATGATCAACAATATATTTTTATCGTAAAATGATCAAAAATACAATTTTTATAGTAAAATGATCAACAATATATATTTATAGTAAAATGATCAACAATACATTTTTATAGTAAAATGATCGACAATACATTTTTATAGTAAAATGATCAACAATATATTTTTATCGTAAAATGATCAACAATACATTTTTATCGTAAAATGACCAACAATACATTTTTATAGTAAAATGAACAACAATATATTTTTATAGTAAAATGATCAAAAATACATTTTATAGTAAAATGATCAACATTACATTTTTATAGTAAAATGAACAACAATATATCTTTATAGTAAAATGATCAAAAATACATTTTTATATTAAAATGACCAACAATATATTTTTATCGTAAAATGATCAACAATACATTTTTATAGTAAAATGACCAACAATACATTTTTATAGTAAAATGATCAACAATATATTTTTATAGTAAAATGATCAACAATATATTTTTATAGTAAAATGATGAACAATACATTTTTATAGTAAACTGATCAAAAATACATTTTTATAGTAAAATGACCAACAATACATTTTTATAGTAAAATGATCGACAATACATATTTATAGTAAAATGATCAACAATTCATTTTTATAGCAAAATGATCAACAATACATTTTTATAGTAAAATGATCAACAATATATTTTTATAGAAAAGAATTATCAATACATTTTTATAGTAAAATTATCAACAATATATTTTTATCGTAAAATGATCAAAAATACATTTTTATAGTAAAATGATCAACAATATATATTTATAGTAAAATGATCGACAATACATTTTTATAGTAAAATGACCAACAATATATTTTTATCGTAAAATGATCAACAATACATTTTTATCGTAAAATGACCAACAATACATTTTTATAGTAAAATGATCAACAATATATTTTTATAGTAAAATGATCAAAAATACATTTTATAGTAAAATGATCACCAATACATTTTTATAGTAAAATGATCAACAATATATTTTTATAGTAAAATGATCAAAAATACATTTTTATATTAAAATGACCAACAATACATTTTTATAGTGAAATGAACAACAATACATATTTATAGTAAAATGATCAACAATACATTTTTATAGTAAAATGACCAACAATACATTTTTATAGTGAAATGATCAACAATACATTTTTATAGTGAAATGATCAACAATACATTTTTATACTAAAATGTCCAGCAATACATGTTTTATAGATAAATGAGCAGCACTACATTTTATATAGTAAAACTGAAGACATTATCAAAAAATAATTAAATATAATAAAAAGTTACTTCCTATGATTAATCTAATTTCTTGTAAAGAAAAATGTATTTTTACTTCTCGTTTGATTTTGTACGATTAGTTTGTAAAAAAAATGGAGCTAAGTAATTAAAATTTAAATAATGTCATTCACTTGAATTAATTGCAAAGTTTGAATTTTTATATTTAGGTTTCGGCATTAAATAACCCACAGACGTATTGATATGCCGCTAAACAAAACCGAACCAAATTAATTTAAATTTGATATACTTTTTCAGTAATTATTCTTTCAAACACGTCTTCTGCAAAACAATAAATAGTTGATGCCTATTAAATATTTAAATTTAGTGATTTTGTTTCCGTGTATATGAATGTCCTCTCGCAATCGCGTTTGTTTTGTGCAGACAAATTGTCCAAAATTAATGTGTTATTCCAAGCTTTCGACTCGAGATGAGAGCGAGAAAAGAAAATTAAGAGTGAAGAGAGATACTGTTATTAGTTTTTAAACTGTTTATATTTATTTAAAGACTAAATCAAGTCATGTGAAAGAATTGTGTAATAATGTGCATATTACGACACCTATTCTGAATTATTCCAGGTAGTGTAATGGATAGCGACTCGAAATTGGAAATTGGTGAGCTGAGTTCAAATTTCAGTCGCGTTCGTCATATTCATTTAGCCTTGGGAAAGATATGAATCCAGTTCTTCTCCCACCAGCTATGGATTAATTAGTAATACTTGCATCATTAAACCATTATTATCTTTAAAAAATTATTCCAATCAGAAGATATTTTCTGGCTTTAAATAACCTACAAAGTGTTGTTGAGCTGTATAAAACCAATCAATCAAACAATCACGTACTATCACTGAAGTTAAGTAACGTTAAGCTTCGTCAGTACCTAAATAGACGACCGCTTGAGAATATCGAGTACTGTAAGCTTGAATGATTTATTTAATGAGTAACAGCTCGAAAACGGATATCGGAGAGCCATGTCCCAATTCCAGTCGGGTTCCTTACATTCAATTATGTGCAACTCGAGAAGTGATCAAAATTCTACATTTCATATACAAATTCTACATTTCTTAAACAAAATAATGCATTTCATAAACAAAATTCTACATTACTTAAAACAAAATTCTACATTTCTTATACAAAATATTACATTTCTTAAGCAAAATTCTACATGTCTTAAAACAAATTTCTACATTTCTTATACAAAATTCAACATTCCTTTAAAAAAAATCTACATTTCTTTAAGAAAAATTCTACATTTATTATACAAAATTCTACATTTCTGAAATAAAATTCTACATTTCTTAAAACTAATTTCTACATGTCTTATACAAAATTATGCATTTCTTAAAAAATTCTACATTTCTTTAAGAAAAATTCTACATTTATTATACAAAATTCTCCTGTCTTATGAAGAAAACTCTGGCGTTCCACACAAATACAAACAAAAATCAGGACAGGAAGCCCCCATCAATTTCATTCTGGTAAAATAAAATGCGCGGCAGTAGCAATGTAATATTTTTTGCAACACAATGACATTGTGTTGCAAAAAAATCTAGTATAATTATATATACAATATCCAACATATATACTCGACTTATTTGGTTTTGTTTGGTCTGTTTTACGGCATATCAACCTCAATGGGTTAATGCCGACACCTTTTTTATTGCTTCTAATTTTTTTTTTCTTCAAAAATATATTTCTGGTAATATTTTTTCTTTAAAAA